AGAAAGAAAGAAAGAAAGAAAGAAAGAAAGAAAGAAAGAAAGAAAGAAAGAAAGAAAGAAAGAAAGAAAGAAAGAACCTGGGCTATCCGTCAGCCCTCAGATGGAGAGTCAACACCCACCAGGTCTGGAGGTGGTTGATGAAGAGGAACAGCTGGGTCCAGTGTCTGATGTGCAGCTGTGCAGAAGGCAGGGAAGAGCAGAGCAGTGGAAAGCTGTGGGCCAATCCTGGGGAAGGAAGAGCCACTGCTGCTAGCTAAGGCCCACTCTAGCTCTGGGGATAAAAGGCAGGAGGTGGAGATGAATAGACAACTATTCATCTTCCGTTCGTCCAGACTTGTTAGCCTGCGAGACAAACTTTTTGCCAGGGCTGCTGGCACTCCTAATAAAGAATTTTTTTGAGATTATGTCAGAGGGTTTGTTGTGTTTGTGGAGCTGAGTCAGAACACTCTGCTTTCTCTCTAGTGCCTGTTACTTCCTTGCCATTTCTCTCTTTAGTGGACCAACTGTTTCCTTTACTTTTTTTTCTTGTTATTTATATGTTGAAAGCAGTTTTTTAAATCATCTTTGACTTTTGTTGCAAGTCATTCTGAGCCTTTGCTTTCCTGACTTTGTCTTTTCAGATTCTGGCTATCTGCTGATATTCTGCCTTAGTTATGTGACCCCCCTTTCCATTTTTTGTACTTATCCTTTTTGTCTTTCAGTTTATCAGAGATCTTTGTGCAACCATACTGATTTCTTCTTGGATTTCTTGTTTTTCTTTTTTAGTGATATTGTATTAGATTGGGCTTTTAGGATATTTTTTAGTGTTCCCATGTTTCGCGATTTGTTTTGCCCTTTAGGATTTTTATCCATGAAATTTTGCTTAGGCTCTGAATTTGTTAAAATTAGCTCTTTTGAAGTTTAAGACACTGGTTGGATTATATTCTATTGCTTGTGTTAGAATTATATTGAATTCCAGTATGACGTGATCACTCTCACCCAAGGTTCTGGCAACCATCTCAATCACTACTTCTTGATTAGTAAGAATTGGGTCCAGTATAGTTTTTCTTCTAGTTCCGTCCTCTATCTTTTGGATGACAAAGTTGTCAGCTAAATTGGTTAGGAATCTGTTCGATCTCCCACTTGTCCCCCAGTTGATATCAGAATATAGTCTCACATTACTACTGTGGTACATTTCCTACATACATTTGTTAATTGATTAGCAAAGAGTTCACTTATTTCTTCTGCTTGGTTGGGTGGCTTGTAGTATACTTCTATAGCAATATAGTTCCCCCCCCCCTTTTTATATTGACCCATATGGATTCTAGGTTTTCATCCTTGGTTTTGTGTATTTGTGTAGAGATGTTATATATAATGCAACTCCATCTCTTTTGTTAGGTCTGTGTAATGGTGATTTAATAGTGGCTGTTGCAGCAAGACTACCACTACATAGCAGTGCAGCACATTGATTTTCCTCTCCAGGTCCCCAGATTCAGTTTAATCCTTTTTTTAATCAGTCCTCTTGTGCCAGCATTTATCTATCCAATTAACATGGTATGTTATTGGGACAATTTCCTCTGTTGATACCATTCCTTGACTTGATAAAACATGCAGGTCCCCTGGTTCTTCAATAAGCTGTTACTTGCTTATGAGTATTTTCTGTGGTTTCTCATTTTAGTTTTCAGATTCATATTTCCTTCATGATTCATAGGAGATATATATTTAATTCACATTATACAATGAATATTCATTGTGAATGTAAGCTGCTGAGCAACAAAGTGACTATTTTTTTATCCTTAAGACCGTGGGTGCTATAAATTTTGTATTGGGAACAAATGGCAGGCATTGGTTTTGCCACCTATTTCAACACCTAACACCAGAAGTGTTAGTGTTGAGTTTCTGAACTGAAATTATCATGAGTGCATTTATTCAACATTCTGTATCAGATTTCTTTAGAAGCAAAATATTCCTTTCTAGTTACAAATCTGAGTCTTTTGAATCAAATCCATACCTTACTCATCACTCCTAATTTTTCTCTCACCTCACAGGGGAAGGAGACTCACTTGCAGCTGGCACCATAATCTGAGGCAAACTACTTGATATGATTTAGGACAATCAAGATTTTAAAAAATAAAGGAACCTATATCTTTGTTGCAGGTTCTATTTTAGGATAACCCCTTCCAAAAAGATTTAAAAAAATAATTATTTTGAAAAGGTCCTGACATTTGAGAATGTGAAAATATTGTGAATTCCAGGGCTTAACAAGAGTGAACAAGAGCAGTCTTAATGTAGCTATGCTATACTACAGAGGTAATGGACATGTCAATAGAGTTTTTCCATTTTTCCTTTGGAAAGAAATAAGAAAAAAATAGTATACAAACTTTATTTTTTTTAAAAAAAAGATTCACCTGTGCAACATAGGCAAAATTTTCAAAAGCCTAGTGAGTGTAAGGTTCATATTTCATCTTTGACCAAGAGTGTTTCAAGCATATTGGCACTATGAAGTAAAAGTGATCAATAAAACATTTAGGACCTGACAGCAGAGACATTTTTATTGTTAGAAAGGCTGTAGTTTCTCCCTTTGAACATTGAAGAATCTTAAATATTTACACAAGGATAGATTTATTTATTCCAATTTATTTTCTGTCAGTTTTGCGGTTCAGGCAACTCTTAATGTTAAAAACATAACAATAACTTATAAAAGTGGTATTTTTTAATTTTGCATTTTAAGATGAATAATTTTCACATTCTCAAACATCAGGACCTCTTCAGTCTTGTCAAAGTATTCATCACTGTAAACAGCTATCGTACTACTATTAGCTAGCTAAAGGATCTGAAATAGTTCCCAGATGACAAGTGAGACATTGGCAAAAAGTTAGGTTAGAAAATGATTTTTAAGAGATCCAAATTCCAAACTGTTTTAAGGCTTTAAATATCCTTAAGCTAAACTAATTAATAGAAGTACAGCATCAGCGGTCTGGCTGCACCCTTTTCACCAATTACTGTATAGAACATGTTAGTATAATTTAATCTGAGGTAATTAACAAATCAATGTTCAGAAATTGTTTTATCACAATACTCCTTGCAACATATATCACTTGTATCTCCAAGAAGAATGCTCAAAGGTAGCCAATTCCCAAATCAAGCAATATTATTACCAATAATACCTATTCTATGGGAATTAAATTTTAGCTTGTTTTGACCATCTAGTCTTTTTACAGCTGTGACAGTTATTTAGTTCTGTCATGAATAAATGAACCCAGCTCAGTATAGTGCAAGTACCATAAATCCCCATGACTTATGAATGAAGCTGTGAGGTCCAAGAGAATTGGCAGTTATACTTTCTCTTTCCTCAAGTACAAGTCATTCACTAGGGCAATCAAAATACTTTTTATTTCAAAGCTGTTTTTATGGATTAAAAACCTACTGTTTTAGAATTAAAAACTAAGGAACAGATCTTCATTGATAATTTTGTCCCTTAGCACACAAAATTTTCTAATTTTTACTGCAGTACAACAGTCACCATGTGACTTCTGGCATAAGCACCATTTTATAGTTTGATTATGAATTTGCTATTTTGAAATTCAAGCTGTCAGCAGCTGTAACTAGCATGGCCAATGGTGAATAATAAAGGATCCTAGAGTAAAATTAAAGACATGTTGGCCATTCTTATTCTGTAGCGATGAATGCACAGAAGACTGCCTGGACTACTGCTGAAGTAATGCTTTGCTACTTATTCCAATGGTAACATTTTTTTGCATATGCACATGCATGCCCTAACAGCCTGGAAAACCTTCAAGGTGGCTACATGAAACTAAGAGGACACAACCACCTTAATAGTTCTGAGAATAGCATTGTCATGAATAAAAAGATTCTCACCAAAAAATGTGCAGTCATACCCCACAGACTTTTTTGAACTGTGAATGGCAGTGATCCATAGACGATACTGTTGCACAAAAAATAATAATTTATGCTACCAGTTCAGATTAAAGTTTAGATTGACTTAGTTTCCCTGTGCAGGATCAGATGCTTTAGATGTGTCTATCTTTTAAATTGTGTTGAGTACAAAATGTTTTTATTATATCATCATAATCTTGAAATCTAAGTGTGATTACTTTTGCCACGGCAGTCTTGTCGCTACATGGAATTCACTGTACGATGGATTGCATCATGTCTGTGTAAACCTTGTGTAATGGTCTATATGTAATAAAACGGACTGAGCTTTTTAAAAGATGAATATGAGAAATATTTTAAAATAATTGTCATTTTACTTCATTTCAAAAGCACCTTAATCTGAAATATTTCAGTGTTCTGAGCACCTGTTTATACATCTTTTCCTGGTGAATATAACAATGCTTTCATTAGAATTGTGCTATTAAACGAATAGGGACTTCTGCAGTTATTTTACTCATAGTTCAATTTGATGATCTCATTTAACAAGATCCAATAGTTGTTAATATAATTGGGGAAAACCTTTAAGAAATTTGCAAATATTATATTAATTTATCCAGATTAAAAAAGTAAAATGTTTTAATTCTCAGATTCAAATGCAACATCACTGGGTATTAGCATTCAATCAATATATTATTAATATTAGTACACAAAATCTTGTAATGTTCATCTTTTTATTGAATATTCAGGTAAATATTTCACATTAATACAGGCTACATAAAGTAGAGCCACTATACGACATGAAATTTACTCAACATTTTCCTTTTAAGTATGTAAACAATTATACATGTATTTACCACCCTAAAAGGTTGAAATCATGTAATCACCTAGTTCTCTGTTGCATACAAGTAGCATTCAGTAGTGTTTAGCCAAAAGCACTAGCTTTATCCGATTTGAGTTCAAAATGGCTAAACTAACTGGAGAACAGAATCAGCTGAATAGGTAACTCATTTTGTTCTTATAACAATGGGCTAACAAGTTTCCATTGTAACAGCCCACAGTGGAAAAAATAGTTTAGTTAGGCACATTAAAAAAAATCCCAAGTTCTTCCAAGGTCAGACTTCTCCAAACAAAATTTAAAAAAAAGTAAAAGAAAAGGAAATATAGGCCCTCCTAGATTAGTTGACATATTTGAGGTGCATGTTTCCAATGTGAGGTGCCCAGGTACCAGGCCAAATCTAAAATGGGAAAAACAACATAAAACAGAACATTAATTTCATGGAATATTTGGAACAGCATTGCAAAGAACTAAAGAAAATTACATTTAGAAGATCCCAAGCCTTAAGCACCTAGCTTAATTAAGCTTAATTCCAATTCAAAACTCCAAGGAAATGCTATGAATACAGTGTAGTTAAGATTTAAGACATCTGAAAATGAAGAACACAGCCTACTTCTTGGGCAAGATAGAACAATGTGGGATAGTTCCAACAGATTGATCTGCAGTTGGCTGATCATCTGCACTCAGCACGTGGTTCTCAAAGAAAAAAAAAAACATCTACGTGTAGGGAAGCATGCAGTAAGGATTCTCAAGGTTCTGTCAGGGCCAGTACTCTTTTAACATTTTCAGAAATGATCTAGATGAAGGAACAGAAGGGTAATTCATCAAGTTGCATATGACATAAACCTGGGGGAACTGCTAACACTTCGGAAGATCAACTCAAGATTCAGAAGGATCTCAAGTGACTTGCATATTGGGCCCTATCCAACAAGATGCAACTCAGTGGCAAGTGAGGTCACTTTTCACTTAGGCTGGAAAAATCAAATGCACAGGTAGATCTAACAGTAGATCCTATGAGAGGATCCATGTATCCTGATGCAGCACTGCTTAAGAATGAGTCAGCAGTGTGCTGTAACTGTCAAAAAAAGCTAATGCAGTTCTAGGCTGCATCAACAGAGGGATAACATCAGGATCCCGGAAGGAGATAGTACCATTCTATATCACATTGGTGGGGCCATATTTGGAGTACTGCATCCAGATCTAGTCAGCCCAATACAAAAATGGTACTGAGGCCCTAGAAAAAGTGCAGAGAAGAGCAACAAAGATGACAAAGGGTCTGGAGGATAAAACCTATGAGAAATGGTTAAAGGAACTAGATATTTTAGCTTAATAAAGACAAGGCTGAGGGGAGACATGATAACAGCCTTTCAATACTTTAACAGCTGCAACAGAAAAGAGACGGTTGATTTATTCTCCACAGCACTTGAGAGTAGGGCAAGAAGCAATGAGTGAAAGTTTGTCAAGGGAGAACCAATTTTCTGACAATAAGAACTATTGCCTCCTAAAGTTTTGAGTGCTCACTTGCTGGAGGCTTTCAAGAAAAAAATTGGACAACCATTTGTGTGAGATGGTTTGAGAACTCCTACCTTGGGCAGGTTGTTAGATTAGAAGACTTCCAACCCTTTGATACTATGAAAAGTGACCAGATTTTAGAAACCTAATCATCATAAAGTAATCTTTCACTTTTAAGTAGTCCCTACCATGTGTTACCCTTTAGTGTGACTTCATTTTAAGAGGACGTGGCTTTCACTAAATTTATCCAGAAATCTAATTTGAATTGGAAAGATCTAAGCTGTGTATGTGCGCGTGCATGTGTACATCTTTGAGTCAGGCTTGATTCTTAGTGACTATCTGGACCAGTCCCTGTAGTTTCCTAGGAAAGTTTCCAGAACTGGTTTGGCAATGCCTTCTTCCTAAGTTTGACAGAGGGGGACTGGTGCAAGGTCACCAAGCTGGCATTGTTTATAAAGTCTCTCATAGGTTCACATTTCTTATCTCATAGGTTCACATTTAATTTCTACTAATTTCCATGAGCCTGGAAAACAGAAATAATCTCTCATGTTCAATTTTATTATTTCAGACAAAAGTTTGAACTTAAAAGATGATTACTGCACCTGCTGAGCATCAGTACATTCTGCTGAATTTTGAACAACCTTTATCATGGGATTCCATGCTGGATCTGGAGTATGGAGTCCATTGAAAAGATGACCACCTGGTCCATCAGCAAGCTGAGGATGAGAGGGTATTATAGTGCCTCCATACATGGAAATTGGTACGCCCTGGAACAGGAAAGGAGTAATAATTTACATCTAACAGGACAGAATCTGGCATACAATTATTTATAAGTATCATATAAAGATACAAACAAAAAAGCTTATTCCAAAGCATTTTCTGTTTGTGGCAATACAACAGAATGAGACAATGGAAGAAGTCTATAACATTTTAAAAGGTTAGGAAACATACAAAAAGGCATGAGTATTCCCCAGATTTTCAAACAATTTAAAGATACATTTTAAACTTGTTTTGGATGGAGATGCATTTTTCATATAGGTTCAATTTATTTTCATTTATGTGAAACTAATATAACTCAATAAAGTCCTGTTCATTTGGCCGATCCCCAAATTCCTTCCTCTAATCTCAGGTTCCAAAGTTTCCTTTGTAACTTAAATTTTATTCCTAATAATAATTTAAAAGGATTCTGGAGAATTTCAGCACTTTTGGGAACAGGACAGCAATGAATGGTCATTCCCCATCAATGTATTCTTAAATACACACCTATTTTCCTGAGTATGCTTGCCCACTTTGGATATGAATATTGTGTTTTCTTAGAATTAACTCATATATCACTGACACCTGATTGCCCCTTTGAACTTGATTTAGTAGCAACTATTCTGAGTGAAACAGAATAATACCTTTTTTATCTCCGTAAGTGTAATGACTGGAGAAAAAGTTTAAAATTTATTAAGGTAATTATGCAAGGATTTTGAAACTTTCAAATCAAGTGTCTGAGATAGAAAATTTCAATGAAAATACTCTCATAAAAAGTATGGAAATGAAATGAAACTTATTAAACTCTACTGTAGAAATTTTGTAGACAATGCAGCATGTATGTGAGAAAATATACATTAAAATACATTGAAAAATACACAAAAATGTACTTTAAAATCCACAAAGCTGTTTGGCAGAGGCTGCTGGAAAATATTTGTGGGAGCCACTATTCCAGAATCATCTCTCTCCATTGGTTGATGTTGGGAAAAAGAGCCTGGATCAGAGAGTTGCTGATGCACTGCGTGATTTCCCATTGCAGGCTGGGACCAACTGGATAGGCCTTCTAAAAAGACAAAAAAAGCACATTAAAAATTGGACAAAAGCCTGGAAAATCCTTTTGTAGTTTCATCTGTAATCTTATTATGAAAATAGAAATGTCACTTTTTCCAGTCTTTGCCCAGAGAATTTCATACTTGCAGCTAAAAACAGCTTCTTGGTTTTGCTAAAGCAATGCAGTATCTTTTCTGCCAAGGAGCACACATGCTACTTAAAAGACATAGTAATTTGTCTCTTTAGTGAAAATGTTTGCAGTAGTCAAGAAAAAAATATCCAGCTATCAGCAGACGGATCTTTCTTCATCTCACTTTATTGCACCTCAAAGAACCAATGTCTTCCTTCTTTTCCAATATCTAAAAATCCAAAATGTGGTTTTCCTTCCATCTCCCAAAGTCTTTTTCCTTGTGTCATCTTCAGTTGTGTGCTAACTTAAACAAGTGTACACTTACATTTCTTCATTCACCTCAGCAACTTTTTTTGAGGAACACTCCTCTATTCTCTTATGGGATATTTTTTACCATTTTTTTATACTTGGAAAGAGATTGTGCAGGTGAATATGATCAAGTCCTGCAAGATGCTTAACATCTTTACTGTATCTTACAGTTACAGAAAAAGTTAAAAATCCTCTCACCTGAAACATTGTTAACACCAAATGACCAGATGCCACTGTGTCCTACAGGAGCTGCGAAGTTGTTTCCCAGGGGCGTAGGGGTTACAGAACCTCCTTGCCTAATTCTAGCAAGTCGTTCTGTTCCAATAGGTGGTGGCACCTTTCGATCTTGACTTGTGCTCCCTGATTTTGGCTGTCCCAGATTAGAAGGTGCAGATACAGCTGAAAGAGGAGAAGATGATCCCGAGGAAACTGATGGAATAGGTGATTCACCTGATGGAAAAACAGTTCTCTTGCTTTATTAAATATGAAGGCTTATCTAGAATAGTTAATTTTCTCCTTAGTGGAAAGTACTGAAGCATTTTGAAAGAAATGAAAATAAAAACCTTTTAATTCTAATTTAGTAGACATAAGGATAAGTTGTTTAATGGATGGAACAGGCATCCACAGTGCAATTCATTGTTAAAATAGCTTTTATTAAGCAATAAAGTTGTAAGAATTATTTCAGGGGTGGATAGCTTTTATGCTGCAGCCTATGTTTTGATATAATTTCAATGGCAGTAGCAGATGGGGATGTAGGGATAGACGCCCCTCCTCTTCTCAGCATTCACACCAGTTCTTCATAATTGTGCGTGGTGATATCAGGTTTTAACTTCTCCTTTTCTTGTAATTGGTCAGTGAATAATAACTGAGCAAAAACAGGAGAATAAGGAAGAAGTGGTTGACAAGCCAGAGATTGCTTCAAATTCACCAGTTATTGTACCTCTGATTATATATTCTTCAATGACAAGAATATCTGAAGTGCATTGATACTTTAGATTCAGTTTATAGGTTCAATGTATGACTTTAAGATTAAATTTGCTTCAGCAGTAACTTACAAATTTGAAGGAAAATCCATAGAATTGCCCATTGCTTTTAATTTTTTAAAGCTTTAACTATCCTGCAAAAAAGGGTAATTTAAGTAAACAAATCCTTTTTTTTCAAAGACAATATTTGAATAAAGGACTTACTTTATTCAAATATTGCTTTTGAAAGAATAAAGGATATATTTATTTAAATTATCCTTTTTTGCGGGATAATTAAAGCTTTAGAAACTAAAAGTTATGTGGAATTGTATGGATTTTTTCTTATAATTTAATATTGGAGTAGGCATTATGAGAAAAATAATGCACTACTCCTTATTTTACTGCAGAGAAGGGTTTGGAACCACAAATTGTATATGGCAGAAAATACTAAGGGGAAAACCTGAAACTATCGTTCATCTTAGTCTCATCCACAGTTCAGATTTAAGAATAACAGCTTAATTCTATTTAGAAATCTTCTCTCTTTTAGCTGCCAGTTTCCCTCATCAATCAAACAAACAAAATCACACAATAAGCAAAAAGGCGATTTCAACAGACTCATAGGCTGAATTAGACAAACCATCTAAGCTCCTACATGAATTTGTAGCACTTGTCCAAGGATGGGGAGAAAAATGTTGCCTGTTAAAACTGGGAGTCCCAACAGGTCCTTGAAGATAAACCCGTGCTCCTTGAATGTTTGCAGAAAAGCCTGCCATAGGTGTTGAAGAAGAGTTTGAGGAATTGCTGGATGGATCTAGAGAAAGGAAATCTAAAATTAGTTCAAGTATATTTGAGAAAATAAATCCAGAAATCAAGAATACGTTATCTGCTGTACAACTTACATTAAGGTCAGGAAAAAATATATGCAGAGAATGCAACACAAATCTTGGGACAGTGAAATGGGTGGCATACAAATTTAATCTCTCTCACTGAAATTTAATTTAATTATTTAAAGAGCTTTTAGAAAGATATTTAAGAAGATCCTGCTCTGAATTGTTTATTACTAAAATACTATATTCCCCATAGCTACATTTAAGACAGAAAAAGAAATATATGTATTTATATTTGTATAATACAAAAATATATGTATAATACAAAACTGTACATGGCAAGCTAAAATACAAAAAATAAACTGGTATTATCAAATTTATAGTCAAAATTCTAAAATAACCATTGATCTTGAGAAGACATAGATATGTATATGCAACTTGAAATTTTAATTTTTCTTCATAGTGGGACAGCAATATTAGTCAGATCTAACTGTGAATACTTCGATGCATACATTCACATTTTATGTCAGACTACATATTAATTAAAAGAAATAATAATCTTACAGAGTGCATATGGAGAAAGATCAGCTCAAAATGGTACAGCAGACATCATTTCAGAAACTGGGTGCTGCAACTCAACTCCCAATCTCACAAAGGACCACCAAAAGTAATCTAAGGAGCTCTGACATAATTACAAGGAACGTGTCTATATTGTTTGGCCTTTGGAAAAGGGGATTAACCTCCCAAAGTGCACCTTCTTGTCCCTGAATGTGCTAAATATAATCAATATGTGACAATTTTGCTTTCATATTAAACTAAAAACAAATAATCTCTAAATGGCTAATTTTCAGCATAGTTTTCTGTTTGTTGTTTTTATTATTTGCAAATAAGCACAAGGTGAATGTTAGAAAGATTTTGAATTAATTCTGCAATTCTACTTTATATGAATTACATCAGGCTTAGTTGGGAAATGTTATTTACATAAGTCTTCTTTACCTTGAGTCATATACGGATACATTCACTTCATTATGTGAGCATTTATAGAAGTACTCACTGTGATTCAAAAAGGAAGACTGTGTATGATACACATACTATCTACACATATACATGGAATAACATAATTAATCAGGGCCTATTAGATTTTAGGAACAATAATTATGTTTTCCTCTCACATGCTATTGGGAATGAAACTGAGAACTTCAGTTTTGTTATGATGAAAGCATTAATTCCTGTTTTATGTTGTCTGTCCTTTCTCGAGGTTTAATTTGTGCCACTAAAATAACATGAGCTTACATAAGGCTTTGGGGCTGTACATAACAATATTGAGGAATGTTTCATGATCTCTGGGATCATACATCAGAGGATAGCAAGCTTACATAATAGAACATATAATAAGATCAAGAACAAATGTATTTATGAAAGGAAACAATAGTGCTTGTATGGACAGCTATATAATGATAAATGAAAAAAGATGGCAAAGGCAGCATGTATAATAGCTAACTTTGAATGGCCCTTAAGCATAGATAGAAGGAACTAATGTATCAGAAGATAACCTACTTATTTGTGTCCATAATCAAAGGAAAAAAGAAATTAGTTTTCTAGTAGGGAACAAAAACATGATAAAATGCTATGACATGCAAAAAGATTTGATCTGACTAAAACGGATATGATAAACATTTAAGTGGTGAAGCTTTTGCTGTACATCATCTATACAATATGAGAACGATAATTTCTTAGGTGATACACAAGAGGAATCCAATTTCTGGAAAGAAAATTTAGTTCTGAGTCTTGATGACAGTTTGAAAAAGTGGATCAAGCACAGGGTTCATTGATTTAGCAAATAAAATTGATTACTATCACCAAAAATATTTCATACCAAACCCAACAGCGGTTATCACAGGCTGAAATGGCTTGGCAGTTTGCAGAATAAATAAAACGGAAACTCTAGAATCTGATTCACTTCAAAAATAAGGAACGTAACTTTCATGGTCCAGACCAAAGATTTCATGCCCAAGGTTGGGGGAAAAAACTCAAAATTCTGACTTAAGGTAGACATACTATAACTGTCAAATAAACTTTGGAAGAACATAGATCCACGGATGATTTTCATGTATCTATAGTAAAGTTTTGAAAGTGAAGTGGAAGTTTTTCTAGATGTCTTTGGAATCTTTTGAATGGTATAGTGCAAGTCTATATGGTCAACCAAGCATTATGTTATCACATAACAGCTTCTGAATATATGTAATGATTTTATTGTGGTTATATCTCTAGGTCCTTGTTGGGCAAAACAATAACTGCAGATTTGTCAGGACCATCACAAAATCACTAGATTCTGCTTATAAATATTAATATTGAGGTAATTACACAAAAAGTCTGCTTGTAGAGACCTCACGATTTGCCTATTTTTATATTTCCATTTGTTCAAATCATTACTGATTCCCGGAAGACTTTAAATCATTATCCTTGCCAGAATTTCAAGAATATACAGTAATTACTTTACATGTCCATTTTTAAGTATTATTGTACTTTTTCCTCACACCAATGATTTATCTTCCTTTTTGAAAATCTATTTGCATTCAGTGGTTTTAATGACATTTCATCAAAATTTCTGAGGGCTTCCTTCAACCCCTAATCTTATCCAGGGCAATTCTAACTGTGTTTACTAGAATACAGAAAACGACTGCCTAAAGCATAACATAGTCTAGTGACATCTTTTCCAACTAACAAACTTATTAATTTAAGCTCATGAAGGCCTTTCCATAAATTTGTTAGAAAAGGTGCTACCAGACTCTTTCTTATTTGTCACCGTAAACTAATATGGTTCTATGCAAGTAGCTAGAAAACTAACTTCATTTTATTTTCTTGATGATCGTGTGGTAAAATATGTTTCCTCAAGATTTAAAATATCCAATTCCCACTTTAAAGTACACCTGCACACTCATTAAAAACAACAACAATGTATTGAACCATACCTTTGGTGATATCACTACCACCCTATAATCGCTGAAAGGTAAACAAGAAAAGACATTTGGACTTACTGTGAAATTCTATTTTCTGAGACTCACAAAGGGCATTTCACATTTTGGGCATCTTCTATTGGAAAGAGTAGGCATGGTCCACAACTGACTATTCTGTGGAAGGAACTATCTTGCCTCCCATAATCAGAATGGAAAAGCAGGACAGCTCCTCAACTCCACTGTCAAATCTTCTAAAAAAAATCTACTTCAAAACATGACTATGCAGGGAGTTGGAAGACAGCTGGCTAAAGCTTTAAAGAGTAGATAGGCTCATAGAAAAAAAATCCAGGACAACTCCCAAATGTCCTATTTGTAGTTGTACAATTATGGCAGAAACTTTCTCTCTCCACACGTTTCTTGAAGCTGATCTTGAAAGAATAGCGGTGAGTCAAAATACTGCCTGTGAAGCTCTACACATTATGGAACCAAGAAAACACTCCCTAAACCTTTTAAAAAGGAAAATCATCTTAGAAGGCAGCTATAATTGCCACTTTCCTAAATATAAAAGCAGCATTAAACACTGGTGGCTATTTGTCCATAACTTGATAAGACAGGACTGGGCAGTTAATTGCCTAGAAAAAGCAGATGTACAAATCTTAGTGTTCCCTGACTTCCTTGAAAAAAATATAAACATTGCTTCAGATTTCCCAAACTTTGGTGCCCTATCTAGAGAAAATTCAATGTATATTACAGCCTATAATAACCACATTATTACCACAGTATGGTAATATTGAGCAAAAACACTTGAGAAGAGTGAAGTTCATCTCTGGCATGAAAAAGTGGTTAGGAAGCAAGACTGCTTTATCCATGAAAAATACTACCCTAACAATTCAAACAATTTCTGGCTGGAAACAGAGTTTTACTTTACTTAACTGAACAAGTTGCCAAAGAACCCATCGGAGAATTCATGACAGTCAATGTTGACATTCCACAGAGAATATCTGTGTACTGGGGAAGTTTCAGGAAAAAAACACCCTATATAGGGCCCATTTAAAATGTGGGTGAAATACAAACAATTCTGTGTATTTGTTCTTTATACAATGGAGGGCCTTGAAATTTCTGCCTGCAAAAGCAGCAAAATCTTGTTCACCAGATCTGAGGCTAGGCTCTTTTCTTCACATCATTTATCTAGCAACATTTTACCTTTAAATCACAGATTTATCTGCCTGAGCCCCCCGAAGTGTCCAGCACTCCCTGCAGTAGTCTCCCACTGAAAGAAGCCTCCGCTGAAGCATAAGTGTCCAGCTGGTAATGCCTGATGAAAGGCGAAGGCCAGGTGGCAGCCCTACAGAAATCCTCTATGAGCACCTGGCTAGACCAGGCCGTAGACGTGGCCTCACTCCTGGTGGAGTGCACAGTGATGCCAGCTGCCACCGGAAGCCTGCGTGCCTCATATGCCCTAGTGATGGCTAGCCTAATCCATCTGCCGATGGTGACTGGTGACACCTTTGCCCTTAGGGTAGAGGGCTGGAAGGAGATGAAGAGCGCCTCCGACCACCTGAAGGTAGAAGTGTGTTTCAGGTAGATACGCAGCCCCCTTCTCACATCCAGGCAATGCCAGATCTTTCCCTTTCCCTGGAAGACATCAGACAGAAGCACCATCTCCTGAGCCTTATGGAAAGGAGAGTTAACCTTGGGCAGGAAAGAAGGGTCAAGCCTGAGCACAACTCTGTTGTCGTAAAATGTGCATAGATCTGACCTAGAAGACAGCGCATTGAGTTCAGAAATACATCTGGCGGAGGTAATCGCCACCAGGAACACAACCTTAAAGGTTAGGAACTGCAGGCTCACCATCCTCAAAGGCTCGAAAGGAGCCTCTGACAGTGCCTGAAGCACTGTGGGAAGGTCCCATGTGGGGAACTGGTGTACTACAGGGGGCCTGAGATTAGCTGCCCCTCTAAGAAACCTTTTAATGACTGGGTGATGTGCTAGGGATCGAGAAGCCCCCCCCCCCCCAAGGACTGTGG